CTAATCCACTTTAGGAAGTCCTTTATAGCTTTCTAAGTTTTTTTTTTTTTTTTAATTTTTAATGTTTATTTATTTTTGAGAGAGAGAGAGAGAGAGAGAGACCGAGTGTGAGTGGGGGAGGGGCAGAGAGAGAGAGAGAGAGAGAGAGAGACACAGAATCCAAACAGGCTCCAGGATCTGAGCTGTCAGCACAGAGTCCAATGGGGGCTGGAACAGCGAGATCATGACCTGAGCTGAAGTCGGATGCTTAACCGACTGAGCCACCCAGATGCCCCGTAGCTTTCTAAGTTTTTAACAAACTTCTCAAGATTTAAGTTGTAAATGAAGTCTTTTTGACCAAGTAGATGTTTTTATTTGGTATGTTAAGTTACTCCGGGAGCACTGTCAAACAAATGATAAGTCATATAATAGTAAGTTGTAGGTTATGTTTGGGTAAATGCTATAACTATTCTAGAGATAATATGCAATTCACAAGGTCTTAATATGTTTTGGTTATAAGATTGTCATGTGATATTGTGATTATCGAAGTGTTTTGTGTTACAGAAATAAATGGATTTCCTTGTCAACTGCATCAGAATGAACTCTCATATCAGATTAACAATGTCCATTCCTGACATTTTGTCATTAATAGTTAATTGTTCTGATTCTCTTACAAAAAAACTAGTTTCATCTTTAAGGAGATTTATAAAAAGGACTTTTAGGGGGCACCTGTGTGGCTCAGTCGGTTAAGTGTCTGACTCTTGGTTTAGGCTCAGGTCAGGATCTCACGGTTCATGAATTCAAGCCCTGAGTTGGGCTCTGTGCTGACAGCACAGAGCCTGCTTGGGATTCTCTCTCTCTCTCTCTCTCTCTCTCTCTCTCTGTCCTTCCCCTGTGCTCCCTCTCTCTCTCTTTTGAATAAATCAACTTAAAAAAAATAAAAAGGACCTTTAGGACAAATACATGTATTTGACATCTTTAAAATCATAAAACTGAAATAGGTTAAGAATTTCTAGAACTAAAAAGCTGCATTCAGGCAGTCTGGGTGCTCAGTCTGTTAAGCATCCGACTCTTGATTTTGGCTCAAATCATGATCTCGCAGTTTGCGAGATGAAAGCCCCGTGTCGGGCTCTCTGCTATCAGCACGGAGCCCACTTTGGATCCTCTGTCCCCCTCTCTCTCTGCCCTGCCCTTGTGCTCTCTCTCTCTCTCTCTCTCTCAAAAATACATACACATTTCGGGGTGCCTGGGTGTCTCAGTCAGTTAAGCATCCTACTTAGGCTCAGGTCATGACCTAGTGAGTTCGAGCCCCACATCAGGCTCTCTGCTGTCAGCACCGAGCCCACTTCAGATCCTCTGTCCCCCTTCCTCCCCCACTCATGCTCTCTTTCTCTAAAAAATAAATACACATTAAAAACATTTTTTTAAAAAAAAAAATTTTTTTTTCAACGTTTATTTATTTTTGGGACAGAGAGAGAGACAGAGCATGAACGGGGGAGGAGCAGAGAGAGAGGGAGACACAGAATCGGAAACAGGCTCCAGGCTCTGAGCCATCAGCCCAGAGCCTGATGCGGGGCTCGAACTCAGGGACCGCGAGATCGTGACCTGGCTGAAGTCGGACGCTTAACCGACTGCGCCACCCAGGCGCCCCAAAAACATTTTTTTTAAATAAATATATGTTCAAAAAAAAAAAGCTGCTTTCAAACTAAACAAGACTTAGTAATGACCAAGGAGCGTAAGGCAAGTTGATAATCCACAAATGCCTTCCCGGCTTTGGTGGGATACATGTGACATTCCCCAGGGCATTCCTGGCTGCTTCAAAGCTAAAAAAGGAGAAAAACAAATGGTTTACTGATAGAGATCACAGTCATGCAGGATATGAGTCTCCATCAGTTTATAAATGTCTGCAATTTTATCAATAGCCTAACCTCCAGAGACCCATAGATTCAGCTTCCTGGAGCCCTAACATCACGGTCCCCTCCATAGAGATGTGGGGAATAAAGGCAAGAAGGAAATGGCAGATAAAATTCAATTTCCTTGTAACCTGCAGTCCACTGACAAATACTTGAGGCGGGGGAGTATGACATTTCTCCGGGAACTCCCTCCTGCCTTAATGTTCATGCTTTGCTGGAGGGAAAAACAACCTTAGCCTGACAACAGCTATACCTCCAGTGTCTTTGGAGTCCTCTAGCATATACAAGTCCTTTTGCAATCTTATCTTTTTGGTTTTTTTTTTAGTGTTTTAAATTATTTTTATTTATTTTTGAGAGACAGAGACAGAGAACCAGCGGGGGAGGGGCAGAGAGAGAGAGGGAGACACAGAATCTGAAGCAGGCTCCAGGCTCTGAGCTGTCCGCACAGAGCCCGTCTCGGGGGCTCGAACTCACGAACCGTGAGATCATGACCTGAGCCGAAGTTGGTCGCTTAACCAGCTGAGCCACCCAGGCACCCCTGGAACGTCATATTTGAGAGCGACATGCATAGACTCAGATATGAGTAGACAGTTTTAAGGAACTAGGATCGACTTTATGATGCATAAAGCCATAAAGCCCCTTGGAAATGTTGGTCTGACACCTTGCTTACAGAGTTCCCAGCAGCCTTCCCATTTGAGTAAAGACTGTCACTTCCTTGCAGGTGCAGGAACCTCAGGATATCTTGGGGACCTTGTGAAGACGAATTCCCCCAAATCTACAGGTATTGCAGGCGAGTCTCATGGCAAGTACTTGGCTTGGTGTCTGGCCTTGGAGAGGCCACTAAACGCTCAATCTAGACACGCCTTTTGAAAAAGTTCCAGCAAAGCAAACTTTAAAAGATCTATATGCTCAATCACTATTCTTGCTTAGTTTATGTAAATAATTAGGCCACGTCTGTTAAAATTAGACTTGTTTGCTAAATGAATAGATCCTGAATTCTTCTGATTTCCTCAGATATTTGGCTATGACTCTCCAAACCAAGGTTTCCAAACTTCTTCCAAAAAGCTTTTTCTCACCGTAGACATATAATGCTTTATTAAGTTATTCCCTTGAGGCCAGGTTAATTCATACGTTTCTAAATAAATATACCGTCCATATCCTTCCTGAACCCGAGCTGATAGTGCTAGAAACCCACCCCATATAATCTGGTTTATCTCACGGATTGAAAGTCTAATAAAGCAGGGGATTTAGCTCCAAAATGGAAGGGCCCCCGCCAGGTCCTATTATATACTCCCACTGCAGTAAAAGTAGGACGTTCCTCATGGGCTCACATATCAGGAATTAAACCTGTTCCTTCCCCACAGGAATCTAGCACGCCAGCTAACACGCTTTCTTATTCCTGTGAACCTGTGGGTGACCTCCAATTTCTCTTCAAGCGACGATGAAGAACTGGAGGAAAATTCTGATTAACCGTCAAAGGCCATTTTTATTGGGCTTCTTCTCACAGTGACATTAACCACATTTTGTTGTCTTTTCCCGTGTCTCTCTGCCTGGTGCCAAGATTCCTTCGCAGCCATAACTTCCAGCTGACAGATGTTCCTTTCTACTGAATGAGGTTCATATACATGTTGTCCCCCTTGGATTGGCTGCCTCTGCCTTTGGTAACTCATATATAAATATATATAAAATGGTCAGGTGGAGAATTAATACATATATAATAATAATATATATTTATAGTTATATATATAATTATATATATATCATGGTCAGGTGGGGAATTAATGCATATATATAATAATTATATATATTTATAATTATATATACATAATGGTCAGGTGGGGAATTAATATATATGATAATTATATATATTGTATATATAATGGTCAGGTGGGGAATTAATACATATATATAATTATATATATGTTTATATATATAATGGTCAGGTGGGGAATTAATATATATAATTATATATATAATGGTCAGGTGGGGAATTAATACATAATAATTATATATATTATATATAATTATATAATTATATATACATAATAATTATATATATTATATATAATTATATAATTATATATAATGGTCAGGTGGGGAATTAATATATATTATATATAATATATATAAATATCAATATATAATATATATACTATATATATGTGTGTATATATATATAAAATATATTATGTATTTTAATTCCCCACCTGACCATTGTTTACCTATAGGTTGGGACAGCACACCACCCCTATTCAGCAGGAAGAAGTTACAGAAGAAAAGAAAGACCTTCCACCCTCAGCGACCTTAAATTAAGGGTCAAAATGGTTCTGGGGACAATGATGTGGGGAACAAAGGCCGAAGGAAATAGCAGTTAAAATTAAATTTCCTTCTAACCTGCAGCCCATTGACAAATACTTGAGGCAGACAGAGTAAAACATTCCTCCAGGAACTTCCTCTGGTCTTAAGGTAGATGCTTTGCTAGAGGGAAAAACGGCCTTAGCTAGGTCTCAGGGATCCTGTGAGTCTTCTTCAAGCGTAAGAAAGTCCTTTTGGAAACCTGCCCCTGCCTTTCCCGCCCCCAGCTCCCAAGTTTATCATCACTCACTCCTCGCAATCCCCGGGGCGGCTGTTTCTGCCCAAGGTCCTGTCCCCAAGAAGATCACCTTTTGGCATCAAAGACGTCTCAAGAATTCTCTCTCGGCCCTCCGCTAAGGACGCCCCCCCCCCCCCCCTCCAAAACCACATCCCCCTGGGGGAGCTGCCTTCCCGGCCCCTCAGCCCCGCTGGGCCAGGCAGCAAACTCCCTGGAGCTGGGGGACCACGCCTTCTGTCCAATAGCGGCAGGTCTTTCAAACAGCCCGAGGCGAGCCTGGCTGGTCCTGAGTCATCTCTGCACGTGTTTGTCCGCGCTTACTTTGCTGCCGGTAGCGTTCCTGGAAACAGTTCGGGGTACACCTCGGGATGCTGGAGGAAGTTAAGAGCTAAGGCAGAACGGTCGGAGAAAGCAGTCACTTTTGAAGTGACTTTGCAGCTGTGGCTGGTGCCAGCGGGGTGCGCCGGGGGAAGTGGGCTGGCGCCCGAGGTCCACGCAGGTGCGGCTCCGGGGCCCCTGCACCGCACGTGGGCGCAGCGCGCTTCCCAGGCCGCCTGGGTGGGCACCTCCCTGGCCAGCTCAGCCTTCCGCCCGCCGGGATGCGCCCCCTCCGCGCTGTGCTGGGACTGCTGCTCCTGGGGGTGCTGGGAGCCTTCCCGCAGGTAAGCGGCCCGGTGGTCCGGAGTCCCCTCTTTGCCGCCACTGCCCAGAGCCCCTGGGAGCGTGGGCAGCGTGGGGGGCGGGGGAGGCCAGGGAGTCTCCTCCCCTCATTAGCTCCCAGCTGGGGTGAGGGGGCACAGGTGACAAGGAGGGGGGGCCGCAATGTGCAAGTATTCACAGGCGGGGAGGTGGGCCGGCTGATGGGGGCCCCTCCTCTCCCCGCCCGGGGGGCGGAATGCTGGGATTATTCATTCCGTCCGCTTCAACTGAGCGGTGGGGGGCTGCCTGCAGGAGGTAGGCTGTTTGTGGGTGGGGGTCCTGGGCAGGCCAGCTGGGGCCTCCATGACCAGAAGAAGTCGGTGTTGGGGCTCTCCCTGCTACTTGCCCCTGGTCCCTAAAACGGTTGGCTTGGGGGAGTGGAGTGTGAGTGCGAGGCAGGGGTGAGGGTGCTAGACAGGCCAGACTTAGTATCCCCCCCCACCACCCCTGTCTGGACTCCTTGCCCTGGAGCACGTGGTAGGTGTCCGCCCCTGGAGAAAGGTCAGTGGTGGGGCTGACGCCTGTGGTAGGAAAACCCCCGAAGCAAATGTGGGGACTACTTTAGGAAAACTGTGCACTTACCAGTGGCCAGCACTGAGCTCGGCATGGGGTGGGGAGAGAGCTCAGGTTAACCAGAGGTGGTCTACCATGCCAGCGCCCAAGCGGCGGGTCTGAAGAGGAGAGACAGGCCTGTGGCTGACCATAATACCCGGGTGGAACACAGTAGGTGTTGGTGAGGGCCCGCCCAATCTTGGTACAAAGTGGGAACAGCAGTCTACTGAGGGAGGGGCAGGCCCACCCCCTTTAATCCTATAGGAAGGGTCCCTCCAGTGTGGAGGTCAGTCCTATTCATCCCAACCTCGGGAGCCGGGAGCAGGGGAAGAGGGTAGAGGGGTGGGCTTCGGGCAGGAGGAGGAAGAGTTTAGGTAGAAAGGGGGGCCAGCAAATGCCTCCCACCCCGCCCCAGGCTTCAATGGGACTGTATGAGACCACCCCCCAACAGAGGGCAGAGGGGACAGCTGATGCCCTGGCTAGAGAACCCTCCCGGCCCTTCAAGTCCTCTGCTGGTGACCTGGGGGAGGGTGTGAGTTTGGGGTGCCAAAGTCTTGGGGAGATAAAGGGAAAGAAGGAACGTGAGGCAGGACTTGGGGGCTTTGCTAGTGTTTGGTGGCTGGAACTCCTGTGCTTCCTTTCTATAGCGAGAAACCCCTGTTTAGATGAAAAACAAAAAAGGATGCATTTAATGACACAGGGATATATGAATATATCCTCAGTGCAGAAAGTACAGATAAAGCTAAATCTTTGGACCTCACCTCTTCTTGATTCCTTTGGAGGTGTAACTGCCGTTATGGCCCTGATGTTTCCTTGGCCGACCTTGATAAACGCGTGTCCATATTTTATTAGTGTTGTAGAAGTAGGTGGGGTTTTCCATGTCCTCCGCAGTGTGTACCATCCTTCATTTGGCTGTTACTGTCTGCAGTAGGTCTTGGGGATACTGCCTCAGCGAGCCCCTGTTTATCCTTTAAAATGCTGTCTACTGTTCTACCAAATGGGGGGTTCCATTGTTTTACTTGTTTATGTCCCCGATGGGTGGGTGATGAGGTTCCTCCCACTGTTTTTTGTTTGTTTGCTATTGCAACGTATAGCCCCACAGCCCCGTATGGATGCTTCTGGGAACGCGTATGCTGCTTTCCCAGAGAAGAAGCTGAGAAGAGAATGTAGAGGTTGCTGGGTGAAAACGCATTCAGATTACAAGACGCCACTGAATTGCCTTCCAAGGTGGCTGGACAATTTACCCCCGACCAGTAGTACATGAGTATCGACTTCCCCACATCCTAACCGACCTTTGATCTTATCAGAGTTTTTATTTTTGTCAACGTGACCGGTGAAAAGGGCCATATCCTTGTTGTCTTAATTTGCATTTCCCGCCTACTAGAGAGACTGAGTGACTGTCGTGGGCTAAGACACTGGGTCATTTCTTGGCAGGAATCGGGCTCCCTGTGGGGGTGGGGGCTGCCAGCTCCTCCTGGGACACCCTTCGACTCAACCAAGCTTTCTTCTGCCTCTGCTGTCCCAGTAAAGTTTTAGGAATTCATTATTTTTTTTTAAATTTTTTTATTCATTTTTGAGAAAGAGAGAGACAGAACGTTCGTTGGGGAGGGGCAGAGAGAGAGGGAGACAAAGAATCCGAAGCAGGCTCCAGGCTCCGAGCTGTCAGCACAGAGCCCAACATGGGGCTCGAACCCACAAACTGTGAGATCATGACCTGAGCTGAAGTCGGACGCTTAACCCACTGAGCCACCCAGGCGCCCCTAGGAATTCATTGCTTAAAAAAAAAAAAAAAAAAAAAAAAATCCCAAGTCAGGGGTTGCATTTTAAATCTTTTTTCTCACCGTCTGATTTGAGACTCCATCATTTTGTGGTTGACGCCCGAGATGAGAATGCTTTCTTGCTGTGTGTCACCTTCTGAGAAAGAGATTTGGCTTCTGATGCCTGATACCATAGTCTCCCCAAGAGTGGTTTTTGTAATGTGACCCACGATTGCTCTGATGTGACTCTGGAGAAGAATTCATTGCCCTAATGCCTCCCCCTCCCCTTCAGCCTCCATCCTTCGCACCCCGGTGCTGGCGGCCACGCAGGGACGCCCAGGGTCTTTCCACGAGCTCTTGCAGCCTTCACATTCCCATCCTGGGCTTCCAGCGCTGAAGTTACAACACAACTCCCTCCCACACCCACTCCCTCCCGTTCCACCTCCTTTTCCCTCCAGCCAGATGTAGACCTTTGAGGCTCCCGCTGGGCACGGTTCTTGTTTGCTGGCGTGGCTGATAAGCTCTGTGTGTCTCTCTTCTCACCAGGCTTTCCAGAGCTGGGCTGGTGACCCCGTGGAGTGGAGTGCTGATCAGTGGGTTTTAGGTACCGGCAGATGGAGAGGAGAGAGTTTCCGGTTTTGTTTGGGAAAGGGGACTTTTCCGGGGCCGCTCAAACGGGCAGTTTATGCACCAGGAGGAAGGGACCTGGAGGGCAGGGGGTGCCGGATGTGAAGAGCGGTCAGCGGGGAGCTTTGGGTTGGTCTTACTCAGGGCCTCCCCTCCCTCAGAGAGAGGCTGGGGCAGCCAGGAGAGCACAGTGGGGTTTGAGAGGGGCCATTAGTCAGCTTGAGAGCAGTCAGTGCTGGAAGAAGGGCAGCGTTTACTGTAAGTTTCTGACTGTGCTCTCACTCATATCTGACCTAGACTTGTTTCTTGAGTTGATTGTGATTCATCCTTAAGCTCAAATACACCTTTCTCAACACCGCTTTCACCTCGGGAACATCATCAGAAGGAAAACGGGGCTGAGGGATGTGTGTGTCAGGGCCTGGGGAGCCCCGGAAACTTGGGGGTCCTTGGCACAGATAGGTAGGTTAGGCCAGCCGGGGCCGGCGTGACCTCATGGTCTGTCTGGGGTCATGGTCCCCATTTCCCAAAGAAGGAGAGGCTCCGAGGCAGAGGAGGGCCTTGTCCACAGTCCCAGGACTGGTCAGGGGTTGAACAGGACCACCGTGCCAGACCCTAGGGAGAGAATGTCAAAAAAGGCACCTTAAGCGAGACAGTTCTCCAACATCTCTCTCTCTCTCTCTCTCTCTCTCCTGCCACCTCCCCCAAGGGGCCCTTGGGGTGGAGGTAGGAAGATTTCAGTCCCAAATCTTTACTGCCTCTGGTTGAAAACTGCTGGCATCCTCAGTGGCCTCGCTGGTGGGAAGGGACTTTTATATGTCACCCAGTTCAATTGCTTATTGACTTCTTCAGTCTTCAGGGACATGCATCTGAATACTTCATTCATTCATTCATTCATTCATTCATTCATTCATAAAATCATAAAGCTGCTCTGTGCCTGGCATGTGCTGAGTGCTGTGTAAAGGTAAGCCATTATTAAGCTCCTGTTGTATGCTAGGTATGGTGAATGCAGGATGAAGGTGGACCAGGCAAGGACTGGTGAGAAGAGGGACACGGAGGAGAGTGACCGGCGCTATGTAGAACTCTGTCCCCCACCAGCGGGATCCCACAAAGGGCCTGCCCTCTCCTCCACCTGGGTTGGTGGGGGACAGCTTTTGGAGTGGGGGAGATGAGACGGCCAGGCTGTAGAGTGAGTGACAAGAAGCTGTGTACCGTGGATGGTGCCAACGTCCTCACCAAGGGCCGGGTGGAACAGCACGTCAGCGAGGGTATGTGTGCGGGCCCGGCGCTCGGAAGCTCCATCATTAACTTCCACGCAAGGTCTCTGAGCCTCCAAAAGCTACATGCCTGACATGCTTCCTGCACCGGGGGAGTGCACGCTTTGCTGAAAAGGTTCCAATCGCCCAGGACCATGAAACCCCTAAACCAAATCTTTGCCTTCCTGCTCAGAATGTGTGTGTCCACCGCTGCTGTGTCAGAAGAGGGAGGCCAAGAGTTGGGTCTTGGGGAGGCTGGGAACCTGGCTTCCCTCTCGTGCAGGCTGGGATGGAAGTGGTCGAGGAAGCAAGCCGGCCCCTCTAGCTGGGGGAGGAACTCAAGGCACCTCGGAGGGCAAAAGCCCAAGTACCACTGGGTACTTCTTTTTTTTTTTTTTTAACGTTTATTTATTTTTGAGACAGAGAGAGACAGAGCATGAACGGGGGAGGGGCAGAGAGAGAGGGAGACACAGAATCGGAAGCAGGCTCCAGGCTCCGAGCCATCAGCCCAGAGCCCGACGCGGGGCTCGAACCTGCGGACCGCGAGATCGTGACCCGAGCTGAAGTCGGACGCCTAACCGACTGAGCCACCCAGGCGCCCCATTGGGTACTTCTTTAATGCCATTAAACTTTCCCTGGCAGCTGCTGGTGTCCCTCGGTGGCTGCCGCTGAGACTGGTGGTCCAGGGCTGGCAGATTTTATCCCATCTGAGGTATAGCTGAGTGTGAGCCCCAAGGACTTGCTGCAGCCCCAGAACTTTCGGGATGACTGTAA